TTCACTGTTAACTATGTACAGTAGTACTCGTGTTTTCTCATCTTTATTAATAGGTTGCTGTTTTTCCATCATGCCAATTGACGATCCATTAACCCTTCGGACACTAAAATGATATATGGCAATACTGTATGAATTTAGCAAAAACATGACTTCTGGTGCTCCGGAGTACACTAGTCAAATTTGGACTCGAGCATTCAGTCACCGATAGCTACGGTATTTGGGAGAGTTACTTCAGGAACCCGAGCTCATTATTTCTTCTTCTTTTTTTTTTTGCCATATATCATTTAGTGTCTTGGGTTAATGGTTCATGTTCAAGGAATATGAATTCACCTAGAGTTGCTAATCCTCTCTCTACCTGAGGTGTGAGCCCCAAACTCTGAAGTGTGAATTCGAAGCATTCTCTAGTGAGCGGGGAGGAAGAGGAGAGGTGTTTCAGGGTACGTACGTACGTACGTGTGTGTGGTGGGGGGGGGGGGATATTGGGGATGAGGATGGATACAGTATATCAGTTGGGATATTACAATGCAACATAACAATTTGGCAATACCGATGGGATTTTCTCAGCTGAGTGTAATCCTCTAGCTCTAGCCAGATGAAAATACAGTACAGTACACTTGCTCCAAAGGTATCTTTATGGAGGGGTCTAACAAATGTTAAACTGAACACTGATTCCTGTTGTCTCAGTAGGGTTGTCACAATACTTCGACTGTTGTGTTGCTGTATATTGTCTCACACAATATCCTAAAGATATACTTTGGAGTGAGTGCACAGTTTATCATTTATATTGCACATAACGTTCATAATGCAAATAAATTTGTGAGGTTTCAAAGAGTATCCGCTTAATGCGGAGTCATGATTGATGGAAGGCATGTCATGTGTTCACCGAGTTCTGATTCCCTGGGAAAATAGCATATTAACTGTTTAAATGCTCAAAATAAAGTAATGAGGTAACAAGAGGTCCAAAAAATTAAATAAGAAGTAAGAGTACCGATAATTGTTTGAAATGATACTCTAGTAAAAGCAAGTGTACCAAGAAAAAAAGTTACTTTCAAATAACAAATGCTGTTTGAGCTCACTAATGAAGTACCTTTAATAAGTTAACATCCACCTTTGGATTTGGGCTCTATACAGGTACTTTAGTCAAAGACAAAAGTCATGCCTTTGTTCTCACCGATGATCACGTACATCTAACAAAACCATATCAAAAGCCATCCCACGACTACATCCTGGCAGTTGGAAAGTCGGAATCCAACTGCTCTGATGATATAATGAAGTGAGCGCCGAATGTTTGCCATTCATGAGATGTTTTCACCAATTTTCTGGTCATGACTTTTGTCTTTGACTGTATAGTCTTTACAGTACATTAAAACAAAAGTTGTGAAAATTTATTGTTCAATATATATTGTATTTGCTTTACCCAGGCCCTATTCATTTTCTTTTTTATCAAATAAAAGTTGTCCTTATTCAATAGTTGTTGAGATCTACGTCCACAAAATAAAATTTTTGATATGACCTAACCAAACAAGAAAATGACATGCCCAACACACTTGCTAGTTGGATTTGATGTGTGAATTTGTGGAAACAAATTTCAACAAATCTCGACAATTACAAAAGGTTTTCTTCACTGAAGCTCAAGAAAAATTATGACAAACAAGACTACAAACAAAAGCTCTATACAACCTCTAACTTCACCAACCAAACAATATTAAGTTTAACAATAGTTGCATAGTTTGTCTACTGTCAGTAACTACTGTATTTTGGCATCGTAGCCTCTATGACGTATCGGAACAGTATGTTGATGACAGGACCAAGACCTCTTACTACTGTACTGATTCCGAATTAAAATGGAATTTGACTGAATTCACATTTTTTTCCTTAAACCTTCAAGATTTGGATAATTGTAAGAAAGGGTTATGTTACCACTTGTAACCCCTGGAATTTTGTTTATACTGTAAACTTTTGTCACTTTAATGTACAGTACAGTACAGTATAGTACTTGTAGTTCATGGTTCTGGTGTTGGATTCAGTAAAATTTTCATGCAATTTTAAAATTATTCAGCCTGTATACAGTACTGTATAAGCTATGGTATGCAGGTACCATGATATATAATTCAGCATGCACATATATATAATCCAGGTATAAAATGCAAGTGTACAGTACAAAAAAAGTATCGTACCATACCTAGAGAGTGCAAGACTAATACCATGGAGCACTGACTCTTGTTAAACAGCAACCAGGGAAATTTTCTTTGAGAGAACATCCTTCTAACCTCTGCAATTTTCGTTATTTTGCTTTGGCGATTTTTTTGCACTAAACTTCAATCTATGTCAACAAGCTACCTCCTGGTAACACCATACTAATTTGTTCAATACAGTATAATATTGTACAGTATATGATTTGCTAGAATGCTTGGCCCGGTCTAGTCAATAGTGTCTACCATCATCTGACACCTCTCCAGCCCCACTCAGGCCAAGCAAGACCAAAACCTACAACTCCAGCCCCCAAATTAGAAGACCTCATAGGACTCCCACTGTCTCCAGCCTCTCCTGTCTCCCCAGAGGCTGTGTGGGAGTCAGAATGACGTCTCCACTCCACCTAAAAAGAGTCCCCTCAGCCTCGAAGGGAACATGTGATGATGGCCAGGCTTGTTTTTAATAATGTGGCGAGCATTTATTTTTTCGGTGATACTGTACATGTGTACCACTAAACCCCAGGTTATAATGAACTCGATTTACGATGGAGTTTTCAGGAACGTATCCCCATAAATCGAGGTTTACGTGTACTCAGGTTATTATTTTAGGTTACCGCATGTTTGCTAAATTGATGCAGTACAGTATAGGTTAGGTATGAAAAGGTTGCAGGGACGAGTTCGGCTGGTTGTTGGGAAGTGCATGTCAACAGATGCAGTGGGTGATGAAACATATTTACACTGTACTATTAAAAAAAAAATAATAATAAATTAAGAGTTACAATTCCTCCACCACATTTGGGATATTTCTGAAATAAAAAAGATTTTCCTTCTAGTGAAAATTTTCTTAAAGTTACTGGTTAACACGAGTCAGTGTTGCAGCGTATTACAGTGTGGGCAGACAAGCTATGCTAAACAGTAATGCAATTCAACCAAGAAGTGCCAAGAGAACCATTGAATGTTCATTTCCAGTATGGTCCTTTGCTTAGGGTCATGTTCAATAATAATAATAATAATAATAAAAATAATAATAATAATAATAATAATAATAATAATAATAATAATAATAATAATAATAATAATAACAATAATAATAGGAAATTATGTCAGTGCAGTAAAAAGCTAATACAGTATGTAGCTTTTGTATATATTTTTTTCAATTATATTGGCCTTATTTTTCAATATGGTAGTGGATACAGGTACGGCAGTCATACACCCAAAATCACACGAGCTTTGTACACGAAGAAAATAATTTACCATAAATAAGCTTCTGAAAAATCTGCCATTGTCGGCACATGTTGTCGTCTGCTCTTTGTTTATAAGCGAGCGTACTCTGACATCCATAAAAGAAGCGACCTTATACCAGGGCGCTTCTACAAAGTTGCTTTCTTTGGAACCAGATATAAAATTGGTATTACTGTATTATTGTTTTGGTTTTCCAGCAAATTTTAGGATTTTAAGTTACCACCGTCTGAGAAAGGTTTAGGTAGGTTAGGTTGAAACTATGTTTTTCTGATGGTTTTTGATGTGTTTTGAACGATTCTAACCTACTTCCAAATGGGTGGATGGCTGAAACAATAATTTTACCATAAAAATACTGTAAGTGTAATTTTGTTTAATATGACTGGAGGTCTGGGGGCAGAACTCCCTGGCTAGGAAGTTAGGTAGTTTTCTTTGGTTGGTTAGGTTAGGTTCTATTAGGTTCTGTGCATTGCCGTATCGTTTTTATTACTCAGTATCATTCAAAGAACATCTGTGGAAAAAATGAATGAAATTGAACAACGCGTTCTTGTGTTAGCAATCTGTTCCAGGATTATCTCGAGAAATAAACACTGCCATATGCAGGACTAATATTTCCAGTCATGACATTATCATCACCTTCAGCCTTGACCTGTCAAGAACGAATGCCGGACAAATAGCAGAAGTAAAGGTCCATAACCAAACATGTAACCAGTGCCTAATAAGTTGCAAATATTACTGACATGAATCTGAACTTCCTTAGAATCAAATAAAAAATACAAGTGTGTAACAGCATCATGTCAGTTGGTGACATTTGACCATCTGTAAAACTACAACCTAACGATCAAAACACTAGAATTCTCTACTTAGATCACACTGGTTTCACCTGGCAGCGGAAGGGAACTTTAAAATTGTACATCATTTTCAGCTGATAATTGTTTTTCCTAATGCCATCCACCTGTTTCACTCATGAGAATTACCGTTTTGTAAATCTGTAAGAAAGAAATGGTGAAACCTAAAATTAAGACCACCAAAGAGCTTCAGCATTACCAAAACCGTATCAATAATAATTTACCAAACTTATGTGGAAATTTCATCATAATTATTGATTACTGTGTTGGTATCAATATCTGACTTCATTCATACCATCATATCTAAACTACTGGTGAGAGCAAATCATGGCACAGAAATCTGTTGTCTAATGTGACAGTTGTTGCAATAAAAAATAAAAAAAAATATAAAATCTAGCAGGAATGTACACACCAAATCTTTACCGGTGTTTCTGTTAATGATGAGAAAAAGTACTGATCATGATTTTTCTATTAAGATCCTGAAAATTTATGAGAAAAGAGGATAATTGGTGAGGACAGCATGGCATCATAACACTACTTGGCCTCAGTTATTGGCTCAGGTTCAAAAGCTATTAAATGTCAACCACCGAATGGGGGGGAATCTGCCGCAACCTGAGTGGCGGAAACCTACATGACTTATGCAGTGATTTCCTGAATAATTTGACGTGTCATGATCGGTGGTTGACAGACATGAGAGCGTCTTAACAGTGCCAAGACCCACCTTCTCCCGCTGCCTTCAAGTTGTCTACATCGTTGCTCTGGACATCGGTATCGGCCATTTTGACTCATTAGTGAAGAGAAAGGCGATAGATTTCACAGTAGTCAAGCACTACACCACTTATAACACCTTTAGCTTTACATAATATACTATCACAGCAATTTGGGCTAGGCTAAATCACAGAACAGGCCCAGAGTGCCGCTGACAGAACACTTTCACGACCTTAGACGGAGGTTGACTGAGGGTCCGGCCGACGGGGGTGTGCGCCTGCGCCCCGTCGACCATAGAGGGCAGCACCGCCTCACAGAAGACTTAACCCCAGGGGAGACTACTTTACTTACATGGACTAGAAGAAAAGTCACTATGTATAGATAAATATATATCTATTCACTAAAATTCTGATTTCACATTGAGTCGGTTTGCACATAGGTAGTGCAAGTATGCGAACAATGACGAATGGAAAATCGGTTCAATCAAGGACAGTCCAAGACTGTGGCCAAAAGATTATTTCCATAGGGGTCCTTAATAAATATGTAACTCACATCTATATTAAATATAGAAACTTATATTTTAGTAATAGTGAGTATTTAAATTGTATCATTAAACTATAAATTCAATATACTAATTTGGGTTTGACTTAATTATTTCGTACAATCGTTAATGTTAGTAGTTAAGTCCCAGTTTGTTAAAATATTACTTTAGCCTCTACTTTATTTGTTAGCTCACTAGCAGGTCGACCTACTGAACAGTTCTCTGTTACACGCTATTGGCAAGTACTGGGCGTGTACGGGCTCATGAATGTACCTAAACAGTGATCAACGTTTGTCAAGTTAAGAGTTAAGGAGCTCACACTTGGTACAATCACAACATTCTGTAGTAGGTTATTCAGAGTTCTCAATTCTTACTCTTTGTCTTACTCTAAAGAAGTTAGCTCTGACAGCGTTCTGTATAGTTGCTTCTTTAATTAAAGGTTATAAAATCTAGTGGGGGCATTCACTAATTCCAGATATACCCATTCGACAGAGCCTAGAGGGGGCCAGTGGCAGATTTGGGGTGGGGTCCCAGTGGTTCCTTTCCAGACTCAACGTTTACTTACTTTTTCCTTCATAGTCCTGTATATTATCTACTGTACCGGTAATTTAGAAAATTTTATATTTTGTTTCATACTTTTAAATATTGATGTTCATAACATACTATCAATATTAATAAGGTCATCAGAAAATCAATTGCATTGATGGTGTGTATCATTTAAGCACTTTTAACGTCATGAAGATATATATTGAACATTGGGGTCCCCTGAGGGCGGGGGCTCGGCGCAAATTGCCCCCGTTATCCCCCCCCCCCCTCTGGGAAGCTCTGTTTGAGGTACTTATTAAACTTACATTAAGTCTGCTCTTTTCCCATAGTCCAATCGACTGTCTACAGTACGTACAGCTGCACTGTTCATGTACCAGCACTATGTACATTGCATGTCACTACTGTCTGTACACACTGAACATATACCTACAATGTGTATTTACATGCTGAGTATTTATTATCTGAACTGGGTAACTAAAACTGTTCCAATATTCTTGGCAAGTGAGACGTCTGTGTGCCAGTATCAGTTCGGTAGTCCTCATTTGAATGTTCTCAATCAGTTGCCTATCTCTGGCATATCTCCGAGGACAAGCAGAATTGCAATGCAGCTATATTAAAGATGGACTATTTAAATATGTATAGGATCTTCGTATTAATCCAACTAGGTTATTAGCAAGGTTCATCTTGTTCACAAATGATCCAAGAACTTCACTTACCATAAGCACAGTTATTTCTCAAAATTAGTTTCAGCTTGGGAAATTTCTTCATTATGTCTCGTTGGGACTATGGTACGTTTCCTTACTATTAGTATGCCAAAGTGCAACCTCCTGCCCCTCACAAAGGTAGCGCCATGGCGCTGGTCACGGGTACACAAAGATTTCATACCATTAATAAATTTTCTAAGTTTCTCCTTTTGATTTAACGTTGTTTTCAACGTTGATATTACTAAACCTTTTTTGACCATGAATCAATTATTTAAGTACTGCTGTTCTGAATCAATTCTGTTTTTTTTTATTCTAGAGATTTGATAAATTATGGTTTTAGCGACTTGGACTTCCCTTGGTTGAAGTGTCTTACGGTATACATGGTTTACATACCCGTATTATGTTCATGTAAAGTAATGTGAACTTATATGATTTTACTGAAGACATATTTCCATAGGCTAGATATCTAATTACCTATAATAAGAAAAGCCACACCTAAATAGATTCCACAGGCAATGTTTCAATGGAAGTAAAGTATGTTCCTTGTATAGACGTCTTGTTTCTAAAGTATTACCTTATTCTTATTAAGTTTGTCTAAGGTACGCATGCTTTATACAGAAAACGCTTATCTTCCAAGGGAAACTTTTCGATTCCGGTTGAAACAATGGGTGAAGAATATGAGGAATATTCATATTCAGCATGTTTGTTTTGAAGAAACTTTTCTTTCAAGTGATCCCTTTGATTTTATTCAAGATATACAATTCTTTGCCAGTGATCGGCTCGTTAGCCGCTTGAGCGGTCGGTCACGTCTCTGTTACGTACTGGGCATGTACTACTGGTTCCTAAATGTATCTGTACCTGCTTCAGTGTTGGCCAAGTCTGGTCTTGAAAGAGCTCACACTCGATGCCGCCACAGCAATCTCTGGCGGACTCTTCCAAGAGTTCACAATTCTCACTCCGAAAAAGCTTGCCCTCGCAGCTTTCTGGACTTGCTGCTTCTTCATCCTTGAGCTGTAACCTCTAGTGGGGTGGGCGTCTGCCAGCTCCAGGTATGGACACTCGACTGAGTAGTGCCCTATGAGATGTTTATACACTTCAATTAGGCCACCCCTTGCCCGTCCATAGTATAAGCTAGGCAGTTGCAGGCGCTCTAATCTCTGGGAAACTTAGGTACCGTAGTGCAGGCACCAGTCTGGTGACCCTCCTTTGGGCATTTTCAACCATTGGACAGTCTCTAGCATATATCGGGGACCAGACGGAGAAGCACATCACTCTTGAAGATTGTCTATCCTAACAAACTGAAAGACCTTCTTATAAGACCTACTTGTTTATTTGATTTATTCACCTTTTTTACACAATGGCCCGAGAGCTCCAGTTCGCTGTCAACATACACACCCAGGTCCGTTTCATATTCGGTCTCTATTAATGCTGTTTTTCGTCTCATGGGACATGATACGTCTCCTTACTGTTGGTACGACCAAGGTGCATCCTCTTACACTTCGTAGCATTAAATTCTTTTTGTAACTCTTCACATTCTGTTTGGTTCTTAATTTCCCTGAATAACTTGGCATGGTCCGCAAATATTTGTATGGAGGAGTGTATAGCTTCTGGCATGTCATTTATGAAACAAACAACAAAAGGTCCTAGTACACTGCCCTGTGGTACTCCGCTTGTCACGGGTACACATAACAATTTCATACCATTAATCACCATTAATCACCAAGTCGTGTCATAGGTGCCACAGAGACTTTAAATTTTATTTTATGTTGATTGTGTGCTTGCTCAAGGACTGAAACTGTGCCTACAATACACCATTCACAGGGAGATACAGTGTACGCAGTCGCAGACGACAACTCCATAGGCAACAGAGAGTAGCTAAGTACTTTTTTCTCTCTTTATTTTCTTTGAAATAGGTGTAGATCTATACACAGTCTGCACCCCCCCCCCCCCACAACAACAACAACCATGAGTTTGGTATGTGATTACTGCAGGGAGACGTCGAATATGGAGGATGCAGGCCTAACTAATGCAACGTTTAGGAAGTTACTAACTGCCGTAAAGCTTGATGGCTGTTGCTGGTATTGCCCTGGCTGCATAGTCAAGGTGAATGAAGCGATTGCAATCCATAAGGGAACGAGTTCTCTAGGGACGAAAATAGATGAAGCAGGAGCCCTGCTGGTTGACAAACTGGAGCAAGTTGAGAAAGAGATCCTTGCTAAGACTGAGGAAGTAGCTAATAGAATGGAGGTGGTTGCTAAGAGGAGCTATGCTGACGTATTAGGAGGGCCACGGGTGGGGGGGGCGGAGAGTAATGCAGAATCAGTACAGGTTCTACAGCAGATTGGGACTCTGAAAAAGTGTGTCGAAGAAATGAAAATTAACGGACCTACTGTTAGGGGAGAGGAGGAACACCAGGAACGGCTCCAGCGCAGGAACAATGTAATAGTTTTTGGAGTCCCAGAGAGCCAGGCAGAGGGAACTGTGAGTAAGGAAACACACGACAAGGTGCTGTTTCAAAATATTTGCACAGAGGTTCTGAAGATTCCAGCAACCCCTCAGGATGTGAGGAGACTGGGACAAAAGCAGGGGGTTAAGCCTCGCCCCCTCAGGATCACACTAGGGAGTGAGGAGGAAAAATGGCAAGTTATCCGGCAGGCAAAAAACTTAGCAAGGAGCGAGGCATTTCGAGATGTATTTATTCACCCAGACCGCACGGTAATGCAGAGGGAACAGCACAAGAAGCTCCTGCTGGACTTGAAGCAGAAGAGGGAGGAGTCGAGAAGGAACGGGGACAGGTGCACATGGGTTATACTCAGGGGGAGGGTAGTGGAAACAAGTGTGCCGACACAGGGCCAGGGGGCAGCAGTGCACCCTCCACCCACTCAACCCCCCACCCGGGAGGCGGCACCGGCTCAGCCTACCGGACAGGAGGGAACGAGCGCCGTGTAAACAATGAAATTTTTAACCACACCCTGCAAAATACAGTGTACTTAGCAAATGCTGCAGCTTCTGAGAATGTGGGTGGAGCGGGTTTATTACTAAGAGCAGAGACGTTACCGAGAACAAATTCTGGCTTGAATGTCATGTACACTAATACCGACACGTTCCTTGATAAGAGGGAGGAGTTTGAAACACTACTAAGAGTACACCAACCAGATATTGTAGGAGTTGTAGAACTGTTGTACAAGAACAGGAGAATCGACCCAGAGGAATGTGAGTTCAGTATTGCTGGATATGACTCATTTACGAACCTAACTCAAGAATCCTGCAGGAGGGGTGTGGTTATCTACGCTAGGCAAGACCTTAGAGCCAGCCAGGCGAGGGTACAGGGAGAGGATGTCTTTGAAGAGTCCAAGTGGTGTAAAATTAAATTAAAGGGAGGGGACTTACTTATCGTCGGGTGTATCTACAGATCCCCGAACTGTGGCCCACTAAATCAAAGGAACTTAAGAACCTTAATAAACAATGCGGCGATGCTCAACCCCAGCCACCTCCTTATCATGGGGGACTTTAACTATGGCGACATCGACTGGAGAAACGAGTCAACCCCGAATGACTTGAATAATCCTGCTACTCTTTTTGTAGAAACTCTGAGAGATAATTTTCTGTTCCAACATGTGAGAGACCCGACACATTACAGAGGGGAACAAACACCCAAGCCACTTGACCTCATCATAACAAACGAGGAGGGTATGGTGGCCAAACTGGAACACCTTGCCCCAGTTGGCACCAGTCACCATACAGTGTTGTCATTCAGATTTAACTGTTACCTAGTTCAAGATAAGGCCAGGCCAAGGTGCAAATATTACAAGGGAAATTACAATGGGATGAGGGAAGAGATGAGGGGTATCAACTGGCCTGACTTATTAAGGTACAAGAACGCAGACACTACGCTGAATATCATAACTAGTAAAATGACCCATTTGATCGATAAATATATACCCAAGACCAAACCCAGTGCTTCTAGGAATACGAGGGGATCCCTACACATGAACCATGCGGCGGTCGACAAAATTAAGAAGAAAACCCAGAAATTCAAGACGTGGGTTGGGTCAAACGATGAGCAAGACAGGAGGATGTATGCAAGAGCCAGAAACCAAGCAAAGATAGAGTGTAGGAGGGCTGAAAAGGAGTTCCAAAGGCTGGTTGCACGCGAGGTCAAGTCAAACCCAAAGGCGTTTTACCGCTATGCAAAGTCGAAATTGAAAACGCGAGTAGGAGTATCAGACCTGAGGCTTGAAGATGGTAGTTACGCAGATTCTGACCAGGATAAAGCTGAGGCATTGAACAGCTTCTTTTCCTCAGTGTTCACAAGAGAGGATGCAACTAACCTTCCTGCGTTTGAGGACAGACGGTTCGACACAGCACTGACCCACATTGTGTTCACAGAAGAGGGTATTAGAAATAAACTGTCCAGGCTAAAGGTCCATAAGAGTCCTGGACCTGACATGGTGCATCCTAGAGTGCTAAGGGAGCTGTGCAACGAGCTTGCAGAGCCCCTGAAGATTCTGTTTTGTAAATGCCTGGATGAACAAATGGTCCCCAGTGAATGGAAAGTGGCTTATGTGAGTCCTATCTTCAAGAAGGGCGATAGGCACTCCACGAACAACTATAGACCGGTGAGCCTGACCAGCATAATATGTAAAGTACTTGAGAGTATTATCAGAGATGCAGCGATGGAACATCTACTACGAAACAACCTTGTAAAAGATTGCCAACACGGTTTTATGCCGGGGCGCTCTTGCTTGACACAATTGCTCAAGGTATTGGATATTTGGACCCATATTCTAGAACGGGGTGGTAATATCGACAATATTTACCTAGATTTTGCCAAGGCTTTCGACAGTGTACCCCACGAAAGGCTGAAAATCAAACTGGAAGGGTACGGAATTCGGGGAAATGTCCTAGCGTGGATAGAAGACTTTCTACATGACCGCAAGCAATGTGTGGTGATTAATGGCACGAAATCGTCATCTGTACCTGTAACAAGTGGGGTACCGCAGGGTAGTGTATTGGGCCCGCTGTTGTTTGTTTGTTTCATAAATGATATGCCTGACGTTGTACACTCCTCCATACAAATGTTTGCCGATGACGCCAAGTTATTTCGGGAAATTAAGAACCAAGCGGACTGTGAAGAGCTGCAGAAGGACCTCTGTGGGCTCCAGGAATGGTCGAAGGAATGGCTGCTGAGATTCAATGTCACGAAGTGTAAGAGGATGCACCTGGGGCGTACCAACGGTAAGGAGGCGTACCATATGTCCCAACGGGATGAAGAAAATGTACTAGTTGAGACTGTGTGTGAGAAGGACCTAGGTGTGTATGTTGACAATGAGCTGAAGTTCTCGGGCCATTGTGAGAAGAAGGTAAATCAGGCAAATAAATTATTGGGTCTTATAAGAAGGTCGTTCAGATATCTAGACGGTCCGTCCCTCGTGACGATCTTCAGGAGTGAAGTGCTTCCCCATCTGGAGTACTGTCACCCCATCTGGTCCCCGAGATATGCTAGGGACTGTCAGTTGGTTGAAAATGTTCAAAGGAGGGCCACCAAGCTGGTGCCTGCACTTCGGCATCTCAGCTACCCTGCGAGATTGGAGCGCCTGAACTTGCCTAGCTTATACTACAGACGGGCAAGGGGGGACCTAGTTGAGGTTTATAAGCATCTCAGGGGGCACTACTCAGTTGAGTGTCCTTACTTGGAGCTGGCGGACGCTCGCCCCACAAGGGGTCACAGCTCAAGATTGAAGAAGCCGCAAGTCCGGAAAACCGTGAGGGCAAACTTTTTCGGAGTGAGGGTTGTAAACTCTTGGAACAATCTACCAGAAAGTGTTGTGACGGCACCGAGTGTGAGCTCTTTCAAGAGAAGACTTGACCAACACTGGAGCGGGTTCAGGTACATTCAGGAGCCGGTGCATGCCCAGTATTTGCCAACAGTGCGTGACAGAGACGTGACCGATCGCCCGGGCGGCTAGCGAGCCGACCTTTTGGTGAAGAATATAAAGGAAAAGAGTCGTGACCGATCGCCCAAGCGGCTAACAAGCCGATCAGTGGCGAAGAGGATAAAAGTAAAATAAAAGTATGAAGAAAGTCCCCGATCCACGTTAGGACACTTCACCGAATCCCTTTAATTCTCAGCCTTTCATGGGGTACACTGTCGAAAACCTTGGCAAAATCTAAGTATGTATTGCAGATATTGTTACCCTGTTCCAGGATTTGAGTCCAAACATCAAGTACCTTGAGTAATTGTGTCAAACAGAAGCATTCCGGAATAAAACCGTGTTGGTAGTGTTTTACAATGTTTCGTAGTACTGTAGTTCCACTATGGCATCTTTTACGATGCTCTCTAGTACTTTACACACTATGCTGTTCTGGTTCACTGGTCTAAAATTATAATTATTCGTGTAGTAACGCTCACTCTTATTGAATATGACTCACATTAGCCAATTTCTAGGCATTGGGGACCTTTTGTTCATCCAAGCATTTGCAGAACAGGATCTTCAGGGGCTCAGCAAGCTCGTTGCACAACTCTCTTAGCACTCTGGGATGCACCGTGTCAGGGCCAGGACTATTATGAACCTTAAGTTTTGACAATTTATTTCTGAAAACCTCTTCTGAGAGCACAATGTGGGTCAGTGCTGTGTCATACCGCCTTTCCTCAAATGCAGGAAGATTGTTCGCACCCTCTCTTGTGAACACCGAGGAAAAGAATTTGTTCAACGTCTCCGCCTTGTCCTGGTCTGAATCTGCGTAACTATCATCTCCAAGCTTCAGATCTGATATGCCTACTCGCGTTTTTAATTTCGATTTCACGTAGCGGTACAAAAGCCTTTGGGTTTGACTTGACCTCGTTTGCAATCTGCCTTTGGAACTCTTTTTCAGCCCTTCTACACTCTGACTTTGCTTGGTTCTTGGCTCAAGGTATCAACTTTCATGTCATCCAGGCGCTGCTAGATGACCGGAAAGGGCGCTTACGTTGCTCATCATGTTCGTGTTCCCTTTATGATATGTACATTAAAAGTGCGTTTCACTTGCCAATTTTTATTTCTCCAAGAGTGGAAATTATCAGAGATCAACAAACAACGTTGCTACAAACTAACCCTAGACCTCATTTGCAAAATTCGAGTGAACAGAATATAATAATGATGCTTATACAGTATAACTGAAGGTAAAACTAATACTAGTAATAATTCTTTTACTGTACAAGTGAATGTAAGACAAACTAATAATAATCCTAATAAGTAAGCATGAAAAAGTGTACATTAATTTTTTTCTCGCCAAAAAAGGAAAAAAGAAAAACACTTTAGGAGAAGTTTTCCACTAATAACAAAAGATTCCTTAAGTAAACATAATTCGTACCTATAAGGTATTCACTTCATGAAATTACATGAACATACCTCAGACTTTTTTAACATAACGTGACTTTATGGCCTTTATTGGCTGTGCTTGGAACTGAAAAAAATGTGTACCTTTGTTGAGTCTTATCCCATAACCAGAAAGACATTTAAAGGCGTGTGTACATGTTAATTAAGTGTGAAAACTTGTTGTGTATGTTATTTCTGTGCTCTTGTGTAGTTCCATGTACACATCCTCTCATGGGTGTACACATGTGTTTGAATATGGTTAAGAGTATAAAATAACAAACTCATTGAGTTTATTTGCAGTAGTTACATTTGCCTTAATATTCCTTATACTTTGTTTATCCCTTTGACATATTGCAAGGAAGGCAATACTGGTTTAACCCAGGAGAACATTGAGGTGCTCCTGCCAGAGTCTTCAGGAGGTGGCGGCAGCAAGTGTGGCAGCCGGAGAGGGCCTCTGTGAAGTTGGCACTGCCGAGGTCAAGTTTACTGCAGGTGCAACGAACTCACTTCCCTTAGACGTATTTGTGAGTGGAGAGGCGAGCGTGTGGATGTTCCAGACGCTGCGTTTACCATCCAGAGAACATAAAGGAGGTGGATGGCCATTGGTAAGAGCATGAGCGAGGCAGGAGTGGGCGTGGTGGTGACGAAGGTCTCTTCCGGTGACATACTCAAGGAAGCGCCTCAGGAGAAGGATATGACTCTGCTGGGCCGTCCACAGTGTCAGGAAGTCCTCCAGCACGTGGTGGATGCGAGTGGGACGCGGCAGAATTAACTTACCCCACTTACTCATCATCTCAGATTCTGTAAAAAGAAATTAAGTTTTAAAGGAACCGGAAAACTTCACATTAAGAATGCTTGCAATAACAGTTATATACAGTATATCAGTCAGTAATCAGAACATTTCAACCTGACATTGTAATTTATTTATACATAGGATCAGCTTAAGTTTATTTTTCAGACAGTTTGGCATTAAAAATATTTTACATAGTTAATGCAGTCCTGACCCTTGATATCTCCCTCCAATACACCGAATATCTGAAGTAATAGCAGATGTTCCAAAGACACTTCACTAAATAGGTAACAAAAAATGAACCTAAGTAAAGGAAGGTGTACTCACAGAAGGATTATAGTGATAGCAGTTATTCCATGGAGGAAGCAATTACCTGTTGGGATCTTCTTGTAATAGTAGAAGACGGGGTGCAGGAAGTTGGAGCGATGGGCCTCAGCTGGGTCACCTATGGCTCTGCCTATTTTGAAAGTGTCCTTGTCGGGGCCAGAGAAATCGGGGCCGTATTCCATGAGAACCACTATCACCTCCCCAACCTTCCGTCCTGTCAGCTCCTCTAGGCGTGACAGCAACTGCACCGGGAACTCCTCCAAAAATTCAAAAGTCTGACCTCCACTGCAAGAAATGACAATAAATTAGACGGGCACTGGAGAAGGGAAAGAGTAAATGGAATTCTACTTAATATAAATATCAAGAAAAACCGACTCTTGTGCACTTCATGAAAGTCTATATTGATATAGTATATATCAGTATATATTGATATACTGGAGATACTGCTGTGCAAAAGGAATCCATAAGGAGGTGAAGAATCATTGATTCTTCTTTAAACTATGTTGACATGAAATTAACATTCTGTCACCAAAGGAAAATTATGAACAAATTTCATTCATGAGAGAGAAGTCAGAAACAATATTAGGACATGTCCGTGTTAGCCATCAACAACATCTTACTCGCTCAGGAGGACGATATCAGATAAGACACCAAACATCTGGTAGGTAGCGGAGGCTTCGTTGATGCGGCGCACCAGCACATTGAGCAGATCACGAGTCGAGTAAGACTTCACAGGCCACCGTTGACCCTCGAGACGCCACTCCAGCAGGCGATGTAGAGAACGTACTGGAGAGGACATGGAACACTTGATACAACACAGTACAACTCAGTGGAAATGGAATAATTTTCATGGTAAGGAGATAAAAATACTTAGAGAATGATGAGTTAGTAGTGGAAGGTATAACTAAATATGGATACGGGAGAACAATAAATGATGTGCCAAACTACAGGGAATAGGTAAAAGAGGGGTATAAAGCACAGTTATTTTGTAGCGTATATGAGAATAAACTAATTTATTATTGTCACAAGAAGAGAACAGGAAATAACGTAACAGCAAGAAACATTTTGATACTACTATAATAACTGAACTAGTGTAATCTGTTAAACACAAAGATTAACATATGTGAAGCAACTCAAAACACGGAAAATGTTTGTATTTCTTGAGGAACATAACCTACTTAAAGAAGAGCCCGATAATTTCTTTCCCAAGAGAGACATTAAGGAAAAGAAGTACCATAAAAAAATAAGTTGAGGATGAAGTCACACAATAGTAAGTAAGAGAAAGCTACCATGAGACTTCCTAGCATACCGTAGTAAACGAAAAGGTGAAAAACTGTGGCATAGAATCACAGGCGTGGATGATTCTCACCTGTGTACCGAAATCCATGGATGAAGCCACCGGCAGACTTGCGGTAGTCGAGGGAGTGAGTGATGGTGCCAGCAAAGAAGAGTCCAGGTACGTTCTGGGCCTCGTAAGTGTGTTTGATCCCTGGGAACTTGGACTTCTTTGTCGACCGCCCGGGAAGAGTAGAACTGCAGAGGAAAAGTGGCTTAGTCAGATGTTGGGGGTGGGGAAGTGGTTTAAGAGGGGGTCCTGGGGATAAGGGCAGTGGTTTAAAATGTGGTCCTGGGGGTGGGGCAGTGGTTTAAGAGGGGGTCCTGGGGATGGGGCAGTGGTTTAAAATGTGGTCCTGGGGATGGGGCAGTGGTTTAAATGGGGGTTACAGTATTTGGAATGGCTAGGGGATTTCAGTGGATAATGAGAGAAGTGGTATTGTTTGTTATAATTTGATAACGAGGAAACAAGATAACTTACTTCTCGAAAATGGAGAAGTCGAAGTTGAAGCCGAGGCAGCGAATGACGTGGTCGTAGCCTTCCCTCAGTGAGAAGTTGTCGAAGTCACTCTCCGTGGTGACCTCCTCTCCAAGTTCTAATAAACCACAACAGAGACGTTCAGGTGAGTAAATGGCCAAGTACAAAGGCAGACAAGGTTGATGTTGTTGGTAGGTATGTGGTTTAGGAACTAATGTAGTAATTAGGCTAATAAACAAACAGGTAAGTTAAATTAAGATTGATATATAAACAGGAAGGTATTATTGGCAGCCATGAAAATTTATGGTGCCTAAAGAAGGTTGACAGAGGGGAAGACCCATGAAAAGACAATGCCAACGTACAGTAAAAGCCAACAGTATTAAGGTTGGAATGCATCCCGCTGAGCTGTGGATGGGGGTAGCAACACGAGAGGGCAGAGATAATCAACGTTTATCTTTGGCAGAGGAAGGATGCTGGTGGTTTGTTTACTCCCTCACCTTCCTTTACTGCTCCTAACGAGTTTGTCCTTCACAGGTCTAACGTCGGTGAGGAAGTATACCTGAGTGCTCTCAATACCAGTGAAGTGGAAGTTATCAAAACTGTAACTCTGATTATTAACTTTGCAATTCAAATTCTCTCTGGCTACGATTCATATAACCTTACTGAATTTACGGTTTTAAATCATATACTTTAATATTTAGTCCCGATAAATATTCGTGTTCATGGTACAGTACATCGTTGTTTATTTTGCTATATATTGTTGATGATTGTTACTGCAATAAACGAGACATTAGTAAATAGAGTAAGTTTCAAGATGTTCACCATTATTCAAGCCTTGGTGTTACTATGACTTAATAAACTAAACTTTCCTAGTAAGGTTTCCATTGCTGGAGTACACACTAGCTGCCGAATACTGTCCGGGCACCTTACCGCATTCTTCCTTGTCTGTCACACTTCTTTCTTTATTCTAGACACACACAGCCCCGGCATTATTAAAGTACCAAGTTTCTCTAGGATTTCGATAGGATGTCCTTCCATCATTCCTACAGTCCACACCCCCCCTCCCTTGGGATGCGTAGGATCCTCCTCTCGCATTCATTTTTATCGTCCTGAGCTTTCCTACAGCCTCCCTCTGTAGCCAGCATTTCTCTTCTTCCTGGACGTTTTCTTATTTCTCTTCCTCTTCCTCCTCCTCTCGTCACTTTTCCTAATTCTTCTCCCCACTCCCTTTATTTTTCTTACCTTTGCCCCAGTCCCCTCATTTTCATCCTTGTCTCCTCATTCTCATCTGTTCTCTACCTTACCTCTAACATCCTCCAACATCCTTCGCTCTCCCTCCTCCTTACGTTTATCTCTTCTGTTATTCTTCCTTTGCCATCCTCTTATTCATCATCCTTATTTTTTCTCCGTCCCTTCATATTTCCTCCTCATTTCCCCTCCTCGCCTCTACCTTTATCTCTTCCTCCTTCCTTAAGCTCTCCCTTCACTCCCTTATTTCTGTTTCTTTCTCTTCCTTTCCATTCCTCAACCCTCCTCTTCCTTCCACTTTGTTATTCCGGTTTCTCCCTTTTCTCATTCCTCAAATTTCTTCCTTACTCCTTCTATCATCCCCTCATTCCTCATCCTGTTTCCTCATCCCTCCTTCATCTTCAACATTCTAAGTCCTTCCCTTTTCAACCACCTTCCACTACCTCTCCTCCTCCACCTTCTACCACTACCTCACCTCTCCACCTTCCTCCACTACCTAACCTCTTCTCCTCCACCTTCCTCCACTACCTCACCTCTCCTCCTTCACTACCTCACCTCTCCTCCTTCACTACGTCACCTCTCCTCCTTCACTACGTCATCTCTCCTCTACCTTTTACCACGACCTCATCTCGTCTCCTCCACCTAACACTACCCCACCTCGCCTCCTCACCTTTCTTCGCCAGTACGTATTTGCGGGATTCAGCGTCCCAGGGGAACTGAACGAAGATGCGGCCGTCACGACGTTCCAACACCATGTCCTCTACAGCCGCCTCCAGCAGTCCATCCAGGGATTTGAGCTGATACGTGTCCAGGAGTCCGTTGTTGATGGCTCTGTGGAACATTGGAACAGTGTACAATGGTGGGGGGTAACATGGTATAGTGGTAAGGCGAGGCAGGTACAAGGATGGTGTGGTGAGGGAAGTACAGTGTTTCAATGGTGACAGGAGGTACAATGTGGTGTGGGGAGGGTCAACAAGTGCCAAATGACTCTGGGTTAGGTTAGGTTAGGTTGCTGTACTCAGCAGTGTTATGTTAACTTAAAGAGAGAGAGAGAGAGAGAGAGAGAGAGAGAGAGAGAGAGAGAGAGAGAGAGAGAGAGAGAGAGAGAGAGAGAGAGAGAGAGAGAGAGTGTTGGGTACGAAAACACTTTCAGTTTCAAACAAAGGTCAAGTGAATATTCTACATACTGCATTACAGCGTACACACACACACACACACACATACGAGAGTGATTTTTTTAATCCGTGGTCTCAGAGCCCATAAAGATCATATAATTATATTATCCGAAGAATAAAGAAACACGAGTATATATTTCTTTGTTTTTTTTGAGGGGGAGAGCAAAAGATGTTATTGATTTTCATATTAAAATTAGACGAGAAAACTTATTTCTTAAAACGTCCCCCCCCCACAGAAAGGAATCCCGTATTTTGAAACGGAAAACCTGGCAACCTTACTTTAGGTCTGCAGCTGGTCGTGGGAGCTGGAGACCATAACACTGAGGGGTGTGTTACGTGTACTGCAGCCGACAGGAGGCATTGGTGGAGGCGGTAGGTGCTGGTCTAATATGCCTGTTAAGATAATTTTAAGAGTGTTTGATCTTCTGAAGGAAAGTTGACAGTTTGTGAATGTAGTAGCTGTTCCTGGAGATCAGGTGTCAATATCATGAAAAAAAACCCCACTTGCTTGGCACATGTTTACGTAACTCTGCGGTGGTGACGAGGTGACTGATTTAGAGTGTCTGGTGGGTGAGTGAGGCGGGACAGACTGGCTGGGGTGAGCACGTAGTACAACACGTATCCACAAAATCACACCAGGTCATCATGACAGAGGAAATCGACGCCTCCACGTTCATTCGTTCGAAGGTGGTGAAAGAGTTAATATCCATCAATATGGTAACTTTCTGGAACAATTTGCCACGCTTCAGAGACGGCAATAACGTTGGCTGTAACTGATTTGACAACAATTAAGATATGTGACTGTACCATATTCAAGAAACGACCTGTCTGGTGTGGGTTCTCGTGGTCTCCGAGCAGAGGTGAGAGCCTTGATGGGTTTCTGTACATGACGGCACTTGTCTGCGATCACGAGCATGGAATAAGCTCACTGATTTTGGTAATTCAATAACCCTGTTGCTAGGATATCCATATCCTCGCTTTTAACTGAACTGAATGTGCCGGGAGTATTTCAATGGTGTATGTATAACTCTAGGCGTAAACACAAGCTGTTGGTAACAGTCGACCGCGACCCTAGGCCCGCCACTGTCCCTACCAGGGCCAGAAATACAACGCTCGCTCTTGATAATCGTTCTAATTCTCGCTTGTTTTCCTTGGATCATACTTCTGGATCACAGTTTGCTAAAAAAAATAAATGGATTTATCATATAAATTGTTTGCTGGGATAGGTTAACTAACTACATATGTTAGGTCAATGATAGTTTATCTTAAGTCAGTACAGTGCAAGTATGTTAAATTAACTTGATGTTAAGTAGAGAACACGTATAAGTTACCTAAGGTCGCCGACGTAGTGAGTGTTCCAGGAGAGTCTGGTCCGTGACCTCGACACCATGTGGACGGTGCTGGTGCTGCCGTAGATGGAGTCGGCGGTCTCGAACGCTGCGTTACCTGACGAAGGGTCAAGTTAGGCTTAGTAAAGGGAGACAGTACGATGATAAATTGAGGAAGATAATTATAGTTAGACCTGAGGCTTTCTGTGACAAGATGTGACAATGCCTGTTCTGTATGCACTTAAGTGTACAATAACTATCTATTGACACCACTAATGATTCACGACACTCCTGCCTACACTCAATAGTATTTGTAAAGTAACTAACTTATATGTTCAGACTTTCATCAAAGTTTGCTTCAGTAACACGTCCTTAACTTTTGGGATGTTTTTACATTTCAGTTTATTTCGAACAAAGTGAAATTACAACACTGAACACCAGAAAATATTTGCCTTGTGCCTCATTATATACAACCTTCCTATGTATATTGATGTATGAATCTGTAGTACTTAATGTCTGTATACAACAAGACTCTGAACAGACAATATAACAGTGGTGCAAGTTTACTTTAACAACTACTGTACTCCTCAACTTACCCCTGCCAAGGATGAGCACACTCTTGCCCTCGAAGTAGGTGGGGTCATTCTCCACGTCCTCGTAACCTTGTACCAGCTCTGACCCGGGGAAGGTCGGGGAGTTGGGCATACTAAGTCCCGTAGCCACAATGACATACCTGTGGAAGACGTCAACATGGGTTAGGTTAGGTCACCTGGCATGACGAGGATTATGTCAGGCCACACGCGGAACGAGGACACAGGTCGATATTAATTATCTACCTTATCAATAATAACGACAAAGTTGACATAAACAGTCATTTCTATTAGTTGATGTCCAAATCAGCTCGCCAGTTACAGAGATTAAATTGCGTTAATTGATACAGTGTTAGTTTGAAGAGTTGACAGCTAAAAAATAGTTCATACCGTGATTCAGTCAACTCTCGAGTGCAAAGGTAATACATGTCAAAATATTTAATAACTGTTTGGTGAATAGATGGCTGAATTCATAAACGGATTTACAGTTCTACATTTACTACGGTGTTTCATTGCTAAAATTTTTTAATACTGCGTAGGACTGTAATCAGATTTCAAGCACTACACATCGACCGGGGTAATTATGTAGGAGGGAATATATATTTATTCTGGAAACTACGGACGACAGTACCAACTTTATGATGGCTGCTGCTGGACAGGAAGCACAATTTCATGTCAGGATTTGATTTTTTTTTAAGAATAAACACTCATAGTTACCTGCAGAAGAAAGGATCGTTCACGAGCAAGCCTCACTTACCAAACAATTGGGTAATCATAATTTACCTCACGATTGGAGAGTCTTCACTCCATGCTGAGCTACGAGAGAGAGAGAGAGAGAGAGAGAAAAAAACTTTTTTGAGATACTGTACAGGTGTGGATAGTTACTTGCAGGTGTAGGGTCGGTTGTGTTGGTCGCGCATGGTGAAGTAGCCTCCTGGACGCTGGCCTGAGCCTGGCATGCGCCGCAGCCGCTGCACCGCCGTGTTGTACTGCACCCGCAGCCCCAGGCGAACCGTGTACTCGTTCAGATAACGCACCATCGTGTCCGCCTGCGGGAAGTCAGGGTGGATTTAAACACACACACACAGATTTTCCGTAATATTTTAAAAACAAATTATATATTTTCAAAAAGTTTATGAAGTCTTCCAATAAATTTATTCACAAAAAAGAAAAGACAGAGAAAGTGAAGAAAAAATCCATGTCTCCGAGGATATGAATATTAAAATGACGATTTGTTCCTTCATACCAACACACGGGGATTCTGCGAGTTCTGACTTACTGTACCTCCAGGAGAGAAAGAACTCTGTGAGAAGTACCTGAAGAAAGGAGAACTTACCTCTTGGGTGAGAAAGTACAGGGCGTCTCTCATAGGCAACACATCATGGAAAAAATTATAATATCTCTCCTTCAGGTAAGATAATAGAGACAAATCAACGAAGATTTGCCGACGAGAACCAATAAAATGGCCACTGACGAATCTCACACCCCCTTACATGAAAAAGGGACTTACCTCGGGGAAGAAATCGGCGGAGAAGTGCTTGTAGAGGAGGGAGGGATCGTCAGACAGGAGGGAGTTCCAGTCATGTCTTAAGTTGAACTCCTGGTTGCTCCTGCCGGTGTAGCGCTTGTTGATGCTGATGAGGCGGCGGTTGCGAGGGTACGTGCTGAAGAAACTACCTGTAGGAGGACGACACACACCTGGGGTTAGTGGTGCAGAGAGAGAGAGAGAGAGACTCGACCACACTACCCCTAAAGGTATTGACCTAAACTGCAATATTCTCCGCCAGGATGGATGATATTACCTGAGAGTGCGGCGGTGGGTGATGAAGGTGGTGGTGGTGGTGGTGATGGGTGGTGTTGATGAGTGATGGTGATGGGTGGTGGTGATGGTGGTGATGGTGGTGTGGTGGTGATGGGTGGTGGTGATGGGTGATGGTGATGGGTGATGGTGATGGGTGGTGGTGATGGGTGGTGGTGATGGGTGATGGTGTGGTGGTGATGGGTGGTGATGGGTGGTGGTGGTGGGTGGTGGTGATGGGTGATGGTGATGGGTGATGGTGGTGGTGGTGGTGATGGGTGATGAAGGTGGTGGTGGTGGTGGTAATGGGTGGTGTTGATGAGTGATGGTGATGGGTGGTGGTGATGGTGGTGGTGATGGGTGGTGGTGGTGGTGATGGGTGGTGGTGATGGGTGGTGATGGGTGGTGGTGGTGGTGATGGGTGGTGGTGATGGGTGGTGGTGATGGGTGGTGGTGATGAGTGATGGTGATGGGTGGTGGTGATGGGTGATGGTGATGGGTGGTGGTGATGGTTGAAGGTGATGGGTCCGTGATAGTGGGCGGAGGCAAGTGATAGGTGGGTAGTGGGCGGCATGTTTGTGTGGGCTGTGGATTATGAGTAGCCGTTGGGCGACATATGATGGGCGGGTAGTGGGCTGTAGATGGTGGATTAGGCGGTAAAAAGAGGCGCAGCTGGATGGTAGACACCCTGGCCTGCCGTACGTGTGATATCCCAAAGTCATCACCTGGTCGCTCCACTTGACGGTATTGGTCACACACAGACACAGAGAGAGAAAGATACCTGTGGTCTCAACTCTGGTCTTCGGACGAGTGGGAGACAGACCCTCCACTGATATACTTCTGGGTGTGTTTATATCATGCTGTTGAGTATACTGCAGTGATGTGATCGCCAACACTGCGTGGGTTATGTGTGTACCACATACTTAATGGCTTGTATCTTTTTCAATTTAATGAGACGAGTGAATAAAATATATTTACTTTATTTATCTATTTGTTGGGGTCAATATTAAATCAAACTCGTTTATCATATCCAGGTATTTTTTTTCTATACAGTTAAAACGAGAAGTATTTATAACACTTGAGAAATAACAACATATTCACACTGAGCCGGAGCACTAGAGGTGGACACAGTAACAGATTGACCAGTGGTAGATCTTGGTCTGCTGCCACAACTGATGAAGAGTCGCATCTATTGACATAGTCATCTTGCCTAAGAAATGTGAGAAGCAACCCAGGAAATCCCTACGTATGGTCAACTTTAGCCTGAACACAAACTGAAACCAACTGATAATTCCCTCCCATCGACGTGAGAATTGGTAAATAAATTTTTGGTTTCGAGAAAAATCCGAGAACTGGAGAAAATGTACATTGTGTTCACCAGCAGGAGAGACACTACTGATGTACGTCCGTGCTTGATGCTGAAGTGTGTACTGAATACGGCTGTAGCTCTTGTGTACCAGCTCACTCACCCGTGTCATGTAGAAAAAAAAATGTCACACAGCCACTTTTAGTCGACAGTAAACCAAGTCACATTACGTGTCGTGGTCAACCAGGAGACGTCAGGTAGGTTCCTGGCCACTCAGAGACAACAAGAACATTCATACACAGCTTCATTAATTGAGAATTTAAAATGGGTCTATTTATACACACACACACACACACACACACACACACACACATACAGACATCTGGAGGAAGTAAGACGCATTCTGGTTACACATCGTTCTATGTTAAGGCAAAAATGAAGTAGGTGATAAAGTTCTTAAGGTCAACAGTAATGTAAACAAAGAGTAATCTGGCGAGGCGGTGAGCCGGGCCAGGTCAGTCAGTAGAGAACTAAAACAGCCCAACAGCGAATGTCGGTGATAGTGACGTGTACAGCTGATGGTGAGTGAGGCTATGTCGTCTTTAGTTATACTTTACGGAAACCAGGGTAAGGTCTAGTCACTTTTACCATGAAATATTTCCTTTTCGTTTGGTGTCCCACTGTCACCAGCGTCATCACCGGCATTTCTTAACATTTTAGTGGGAATATTATCCACACCCACACAGCCACCCACACATAGCCACCCACACACGCTACAGTCTTCCTATATTGTCTCACACAGCCAAATACCCAAACTAAACCCGAGGACCTGAGCACAAAGTTGGAGTTAGGGGAAAGAGAATAAATAGAGACAGAAGAGAAAACCAATTTACTAAGGTAAAATTTGTAGCTATGTCAGCCAGCTCTATGAATACTAATCCTTGCTGCCTTCCTCACTCATTGACAAGAATTGCTGGTGAGAGCCAGTGGGAGTGTTTGCTGCTGGGTGTACGATTCTTTTCGTTGCAAATTTACTCTTATAGACGATGGCGAATTACTCAATATTAACGAGTTTTTTTATTATATGGATTTATGTAATAATAATAATAATAATAATAATAATAATAATAATAATAATAATAATAATAATAATAATAATCAATACAATATCTTCAAACTTTATACGAATATTAGTAAACTTGTACGTAATAATTGTGTTTGTAAGGCTAAGAGTGGTGAAGATTATCACAATTGTAAGGGAATAAGGACATATGAAGCTTCTAGATTCGCCCTTGTTGCGTAGCCGAGGCTCTTAAATGCGTTCTCACATCTGACTTAAATGGCCTAGTTACTCTTTCTTACAAGTCATTAACGGGAAGTGAGCGCATGAACCGTTGAAAATCCGTCTTTGTAGTGTAGCTTATAATGAACCGGCAAGACACGTTCTCACACTTGTTATAGAAGTGTACGAACGCACGAACCACTGAGAATCCAACTGTGTCGTAGTTTAAATGAAACCAGTTAGAACCCGTCTCACATATTATCCAGTTGAGACAAAAATTTGAAGGTCCCAAAACATTAAAGAATTTATCTGTGTCTTGAACCAGTCAGACGAGTTCTCACATCTCCGGCTGGTGCACCGTAAGAGACCCGCGACCCCAGTTTGGTGAATGAGGCCTGGCCAGAGATCCACTCAGCCAAATGTTGCTCCGAAGAGATGGGATTAGAACTCCATCTTGCTGGCGGTTCTTTTAAAAAGGTTGAGCGGCTCTACCAGGCACGGCTCAGGAGAGGTCCAAAAACCCTCTTTTATGCGGTCTTATACGAGATTAAGAAACATAATCTGGTTAAAGGGATTTATTACACGCGCTGCAAAAGGTTCTGGAGTGGTATCATGCACCGATCCATACGTTCAAGAGTGGGTGGTCATTGGTGGGCGGCGGCGGCGGCAGGTTTGGGTGGTAAAGAGGGGCAGCGAGAGACAGGCAGCCAACCAGAACATTAACTGTCCACAACGACGAATGAAGGAAGGAAAAGAAAACGAAAAATAAATTTCTTACCACTCAATTCCTCGCTATGTAAACAATTCCTACCCACCACCTCCCCAACACCCGATCTATAAGCCATCTTACGACGTATACAAGAATCTCCAGTAATTTTCTTCAACGTTCCAGGGATGCTACACGACCTTTCCAGTCACTACCAATCAGAGCGGGGACGACTCCTTCAAGGGACTACCAGGCAGGGTGAGGGGACGACTCCTTTAAGGGACTACCAGGCAGGGTGAGGGGACGACTCCTTTAAGGGACTACCAGGCAGGGTGAGGGGACGACTCCTTCAAGGGACTACCAGGCAGGGTGAGGGGACGACTCCTTCAAGGGACTACCAGGCAGGGTGAGGGACGACTGCTTCAAGGGACTACCAGGCAAGGCGGGGGGATGACTCCAAGGACTACCAGGCAGGGTGAGGGGACGACTCCTTCAAGGGACTACCAGGCAGGGTGAGGGGACGACTCCTTCAAGGGGCTACCAGGCAGGGTGAGGGGACGACTCCTTCAAGGACTACCAGGCAGGGTGAGGGACGACCCAAGGGACTACCATGCAAGGTGAGGGGACGACTCCTTCAAGGGACTACAAGGCAGGTGAGGGGACGACTCTTTAGGGACTACAATGCAAGGTGAGGGGACGACTTCAAGGGACTGCCAGGCAGAGTAAGGGACGACTCTTCAAGGGACTACCAGGCAAGGCGAGGATGACCAAGGGACTACCAGGCAGGGTGAGGGACGACCTTCAAGGGACTGCCAGGCAGGGTGAGGGACGACTCCTTCAAGGGACTACCAGGCAGGGTGAGGGACGACCTTCAAGGGGACTGCCAGGCAGGGTAAAGGACGACTCCTTCAAGGGACTACCAGGCAAAGGGAGGATGACTCCAAGGGACTGCCAGGCAGGGTGAGGGGACGACTCCAAGGGACTACCAGGCAGGGTGAGGGGACGACTCTTCAAGGACTGCCAGGCAGGGTGAGGAGACGACCTTTCAAGGACTACCAGGCAGGGTGAGGACGACTCCTTCAGGGACTACCAGGCAGGTGAGGGACGACTCCTTCAAGGGACTATAAGGCAGGGTGAGGGGACGACTCTTTAAGGGACTACCATGCAGGGTGAGGGGACGACTCCTTCAAGGGACTACCAGGCAGGGTGAGGGGACGACTCCTTCAAGGGACTGCCAGGCAGGGTGAGGGGACGACTCCTTCAAGGGACTACCAGGCAGGGTGAGGGGACGACTCCTTCAAGGGACTACCAGGCAGGGTGAGGGAACGACTCCTTCAAGGGACTGCCAGGCAGGGTGAGGGGACGACTCCTTCAAGAGACTACCAGGCAGGGTGAGGGGACGAGTCTTTTAAGGAATAATGTTTTTTCTCAAGATTAATTCAGTGCAGTAAAACAAGTGTGTTCAGGCCCACATTATTCTTTGTTTCAAGATCTTAATAAAAAAATAATGAAACACGTCTATAGTTGCAAAGTGTTGGTACATATTTTGAGCTTAATTCTGACAAATTCTAGACTTTAAATATTA